CACACACACACACACACACACACACACACACACAAGAATCGAACTCAGAGTTACTTAACCACTGAGCTATATCCCTAGTCTTCTTCATATTTTATTTAGAGACAGGGTCTCACTAGGTTAGGAGCTTTCTAAATTGCTGAGGCTGGCTTTGGAACTTGTGATCCTCCTGCCTCAGCCTCCTGAGCTGCTGGGATTACAGGTGTGTGACACCGTGTCTGGCTGTCTTCTCTCTTCCATGATTGCTGCCTCAATTTCAGACTACCAACATTTACTACTTAGGTGACTATAGAAGCTGTGTTATTTAAATGATCTCCTAATGTTGCTTCTTATACTCTGCAAGTAAACTTTTTTTAAAAAAATGGCCACTAGGGAAAGTTTACAAAAGACAAGTCTGCTGTGGCCTCTCCTCTGTAAGTTTCTTCAGTCATACTTCAAGATTTTTAGCACATCATACAAGGCTGTCATAACATGATTTCTATTTGTCCATCCTGCCTCAATTCCCTATGGTTGATAGGTTTATGACCATGACTTTTCCTTTTTCTTACCCACAGGAGATGTATATTTTGACCACACCTGAAGACCTATGTTCATGTACACAAGGATGCCCTCAGCTAACTCACACCTGTTTTCTGCACTCTTCCTATGACTATATCAATCTTTTTTCAACTTAAAAACTCCCATTTTCTAACCCCTTTCTCAAAACTTCTGTAGGCTATGGTCTACCTTATTAGCAAGACATAAATGGCCCTGTAAGAGTTAATTTGGTCAATCTCTGCACCTTTAATGAATGCCATTTGTAAAGCATACTTTGTGTAAGAAGAGAATGTCCTGAGACAGGATGTCACTGACACAGGGACAACCCCCTCACGTGATCAAAATGTAAGGTTCCTGCCCATTCCGACTTTGAAGCAGATGTCCTTATTCTGATCCACATTTAATCTTTTATAACTCTGGTTTTCTACATGGGGACAGAATTCCATGTCCAGAACAACACAAGTAGTTTTTTTTTTTTAATTTATTAGATTTATCATAGATAAATAAATTGGCATTTGGTTCTTTGTTGTGGTGGTTGTTGTTTATTTTCCATCATGTTTTGTGAGTGAGATTTACTGGTGTTGATATTCCCCATTCTTTCAAGTACACAAAGGAGGATGAATGAGAAAGTCTGCAAGGCTGTGGCTAGACCAAAACATGGTGAATCAACAGGATGAGAGTGATAGTGTTGGGAGGGGCTGGCATGGCCTTTCTAGGGGACCCTTTGTCTCATTTTGAGCTTGTTCACATGGTGCCTGCTGTCAGAAGAGAGGTTTTCTTCTCTATGATGCCTGCCTACTGCTCTGTGCAGAGTTTAGTCCCTCTGGGATGTGCTCTCACAGAGCTAGTATGGTGGTACTATCTTCTTTCACCTCTTCTTACAATGACTTGTTGATGCATCTGTGAATAAGTAATAGCGCCTATGCTTGGCACATACCAGAGACTCATAAATGTTCATTTAATTAACTTAATTCAGCTCCTCGTATATGGTCTAATACGTTTTCCCTCATTTCTCTTTAATTATAAGACTGAACACAAAATAAGATATTTTCTTGGAAACAAAGTCCCAAATAAGACTTTTACAATTTGGTCAGGAAGTTTTTCTAATTTCATCCAGACCTACATGTTTTACAAACTTTTCACTTCATCTATTTATTTATCTTCCAATTATTTTTCAGCTTCAATTAAACACCATGGCCTCTGTAGCATGTTTAACTCTTTTGCCACAGATCTAGATGTGACT